AGTGGTCCAAAGCCGTGATTTCCCGCGAAACATTAATTCTTCAAAAGTATCCAAAAGAACGCTTACTTGTAATTATCTCTTCTATTACTTGAGCGGTTTGCTTGAAAATTCTATATGTCATATCAGTAGCTGCGGTCTTGATTTTAACTCTTTACTACAGTTCCATTAATGAAATGGTTCTTTTATTTTGCTTTAGCATGATTTTCGCATAATCTTTTAGAAAGTATGCGTTTGTTCTCTTTCGTTAGCCGTAAACTGTTGAAATGAAATGCAGGTGAAGAGTTTGTTTGTGAAATGGCCAGATATGACATACAGAATTTTTAAGCAAACCGTTCAAGCAATAGAAGAGATAATTACAAATAAGCGTTCTTTCGAATACTTTTGACCACTACTCAGTATGCAATTTATGAGTGTAACGTTAAACTTCAATTAATCTCTCATAGTTAACCAGTAATGTATAGGAAAAGCCCCCTACACCAATTACTCGATTTCGAATTAAAATAATATGGTGAAAAGTCCTAACACAACTTTCACTCATTTGTATGACTTATAATCTCGAGACTCTCGTGCTGTATGGTTTCTATAATTTTTATAAAGATATATGAAGTGTTGCATAAACGAATTTGAACACCTGGGAAAATTCTCATTTCAGAGTGGAAGTAGGATACTGAAAGGCGTCATAAAAATCGTTTTGCATGGAACGTTCAAAAAACTATAGACGCTGTGCTATGACAGCTCGTAACAACACTTAAGAACACAGTTTAAAAAGAATCTCACATGTTGCTGGTTCAATTCAATAGGCGTTGTAACTAGAACTGTTGTGATCATGCACCGGAAATTTTTTTTGACCCGACAGCGACAACACAGTGAGAATATAATACGGTGGGAATCTTAATAACCGCTCTAATAAAGAACATGGGATAATTACTACGACTATGCCTATAATGCTCTAATTTTCTGAGAAAAAAGTAGTGTAAACTCCAACATGGTCCGAGTCACTCAATAAAGGCTCTCCAAACTTCTGGTGAAGTAATTCACTGTAATTTGTCTTGCCTTTAATTGAGTCGAATTGGCATTCTGCCACTATCCCACTTCGCATCGAAACAGTCGAGAAGGTCTTCATTGTATAACAGAATAAAGTTGGGG